TCACTTTATTATATATATATATATATATATATATATATATATATAACATAATCATCCTTTTATTTTAAATATAATAAATAAAAACTATATTTATTATCTATTATTATTAATAATATTATTTATTTATTTCTTCTTATTATTATTTTATGTCATCAACTTATCTACACCCTCTCTCATTTGAGTCATACCCTAGCTCTCTCATATGAGTCATTTTAGAGGAGAGTTTTTTGATGTGGACCTACAGTAATGTCTTTATACCACTCCTTATTTTATTTATTTATTTAACAAAACAACATTTATTTTTCAACTTTCACATACTTGTCTTGTCTTCCTCTTCTTCTATGTCTCCACTTCCTCAATTATCTTTGTAGTATATTTTAGTTTAATTGCACCTTTTTTATTTATATTTTGCAATTTATTAAATTTTGTAATCTAATTTTTAAAATTACGCATTACTTAATTAAAGTAATCACCTAAAATACTGTAATATCTTAATTTAATACATTCTGTATTTCCTTAATTATCTTAATACAAAAAAAAGAGTCATGAATCTAAAATTGTAAAACAAAATGTATAGAGCAAAATAGTATGTATTTTTGAGTGTGTACAATGACAACATAATTTATATAAACTTTTGCGCATACTACTGTATCTCACTATTAAATCAACTATAATGTTCAGCAAAACAATATCTAATACATAGACATTAAAATTATTTTGATAATTTCGCACAAAATCAATTTTGATTCAAAATATCGGTTCCAGTACATTTTATTTAAAAAAAAGTATTTTTTTTAATACTATTTGTCGATTCTAAATTTCGTATTGATATAAAGTCAATTTTATCAACATACACTTAAAAATGAATAAGCGGGAAAAAAATTACAGGAGCCACCAATATTTTAAACCTTTCTAATTTAGGAAGAATAGTGTTTCTTTAAGTAAAAAACTAAATTGTCCCTATCTTATCATACTTCATTTTTTTCATTTAGAATATGTCATTTTACATGCATGTTTACTTTTTTGTCATTTTATTTTACTAAATAACCTAGAAAATTATATAAAATTTATTTTTTTTCACTTTCTTTTCTAAACTAAACATACCATAATGGTAGAAGGAGGTAGGTGTATTTTTTAAATAAATTTAAAAGAAGGGAAGGTGTGGGAAGTAGAAAGGTGTGCAAACAGTAAGTTTTGTCAGAGAATGATATTGCGCCTATGGGCTCATCTTTGTCCCTGATGAAGGCTTTTAATAAGATTGGGTTAGTTATATATGCCTAGATCACATTATTGGGCCTTGAGGACAGGAAGCCCATTTTGGCTTTATTATGCCTTGTTGGTTAGGGTATGCAATATAGACCACCATTAGCTGTAAGTTCAAAGAAAAAGCCACTGTTTAAATAGCAACAAAGTGGGCCCTTTCAGTTTGATAGCATCCAATGACAAATGACAATCAGAACAATAAAAGTGAGCATGGATCCAAAACAAAAGAAGGAGAAGAAAAAATAAACTATCATCGTAGATTCACTATATGTGTGTATGCTAAATTAAGTACTAAAATGCTTATTTGACAAATTTATTTTGCGTTTTGAATGTATGCTAAATAAAACTAGCTAAGATAAACATCCCTAAATATTGATACCTGTTTAAGTGTGTGTTTGGTCTCACGTCCAGAACTCTTAACTCAAGTAAAAAACGTGAAAATAAGAAGTTAATATTATTTATTTTTCTGTCAAATTTATAAAAATGTGGATCAATAACGCGAATCCAAACAGACACTAATTTTTTGGCATTTTATAATATGTTGGGAAAACGAATTAACTTTTCATATAACTAGAGGAAGCATCACCTTTTTGCACTCCATTATACTAGAATCAACACCTTAAATATTAAAAAAAATTGCAAACACCTTTGGTCTTTTTTACAAAGGTGGACGACAAGTCGTTATGGTCATTGAAAATATCCTCAGCTTATGCGACTCGGTCCATGTAGGCATGGCAACGGGGCGGGACGGGGCGGGTTTTACGTTCCTCGCCCCCGCCCCCGCAAATTTAAACCGCCTGCGCCCCGGCCTCCGATACCCGCCGGGGTTAAAATCTAGGTCCCCATCCCCGCCCCCGGCGGGGTTCGGGTTTCCCCGCCCCGTCCCCGCCCTCGTTCCTATTTTTTTTCTTTTTTTTTTCTTCTATTTTTCTTTTAAATAAATATGAATAATTTTAAAAAAAATAAAAGAAAAGAAAAATAATATAAATTTTTACATATAAATATTTTTAATTTTGGTTTATATATATATAAAAATAATTTTTTAATTATATTATTAAGCGGGGCGGGAGCGGGAGCGGGTATGGGTGCGGGGGCGGGGTGAGTATTAACATCCCCGTCCCCGCCCCCGATTTTATCAATCGGGGAAAACCCGAACCCGAACCCGAACCCAATAAACACGGGTTTTTCCCGTCCAAATCGGGGCGGGTTCGGGCGAGTACCCACGGGGACGGGTTAGATTGTCATGCCTAGGTCCATGAATAAGAGAGGTCGTAACGTTAATTTTCTACGTGGTGTCCTCATGTTATTCAACATTTTGCATGATTCCAAAATACTCCTACTTTCGCCAACATATAGTGGTTTCAACCAAATCATTTTGAGGGCAAGTGTACAGTGTTTATGTATGCATGCAAACAAATACATACACAAACGTACCCAAATAAAAGATAAGAAACAAGAGCCTAATGCTGATTGGCTTGTAACGAATTGACATGATGATATGATGAATTTGCATGATTAATGTACGAATGAATACGCAGTGATTGTGGAATGGAGAGATACGCATGTGTCTATTCAAACAAGGCCAAGAAGAAAAGGCTGAGAAAAAGGGCACACAAAGGCAACGCAAGTCAACAGGGCACGTGGCTAAGAATTTTGTGAAGGATGCATTGCTTTTTCTCCAAAGACTGAGTAAAAGGGTGATTTTGGTACACCAATCACACAAAACGACATACAATTTGGATTTTTATGTGAAGAGTGACGGCTAAGGGTTGATTCGTATTTAACTTGTATTAAAAATAAACTTCAGTCACTCAGTTGCTTTTTTCAGTTGAAATTTAGAAAGTTAACTGAACCAATTGTATTGGTTATTACAACATGATCAAGCTTAATTTCAAGATGTAGGTTCGCTTCCTTTGCTTTGGTCCCTCCCTTTATCTAGCTTCATCTATAGACAGATTTTTCTTCTTAATTTTAACAAGTTCTTCAGTAGTGTCAAACAAAAAGCTAATGATATATTGAGATCCTTAATGATTGGAGTGCTGAAACCTGAATCAATGTAAATAAATAAAAACTGAAAAAATCAAACTAAAAAATTGAAAATTAACGATTTTGTTTGATTTTTTATTTTTATAAACTGCATAGTTTGACAAGTGTAATTTCTTTATGACAAGTGTAATTAAATTATAGATAAGCAAACATAAATTTACGACATATAATCTGAAAATTAAATTAAATAATAAAATTAAGCAAACATAAATGAGGGGTTTATAATTTAACTTTTACCAAGTGTTACATCACTCAATAATTTTATATTAAATGTGAATTTTGTAAATCCAACCGTTAAATTGAAAGTTCATATAATTTATATTATATATACAAAATTTTATATTAATCTAAGATGATTTGATAGTTTATTTTTATAAAACAAAATTGACATAATATATTCATTTCAAAATATACTAAAATATGAATACTTTACTCACCTTCAAATTATTGTTCAATTTTAACAAAATTTGATATACACG